GCCCCTGGTGTCCCCGGGGGACAGACGCACCCCCCTCAGCCCCTGAGCCATGGCCCGGGGTCGTCTCTGCCCCCGGGAGCCGGGCTGGCTCTGGGCGAGCAGGAAAACACAGAGGCCGGACCACCTTGTTGGCGGCGCGGCACAGCGGCCGTCGCAGCTGGGGGTCCGCGAGCGCTTCTCTTTCCGTCTCCGCCTGCTGCTCCGAGCGGGGCCACCTCTCGGTCCATTCCAGCCACCCTGGCCGAGCGGTGCAGGGCAGCCGCCAGTCCCTGCGAGGGCAGGTGGGGAAGAAGGGGCACGAGACGTGAGGCCGGGGCTCTGCCCTCCACCGGCCACCGCGTTTCAGCCCCATGTGCCCGGACAACCTTTCGGAGGAGGGGGAGGCAGAGGAGGGCGCCTCGGTTGTCAGACCCAAAGAACTGGAGCCAGAACACGGTCCCTGCAGAAAGCCCAGCGCGGGGCTTGTTCAGCCCGCTGCACGCGTGCTTACTGGGGGCCGCCGAGTGCCAGGCCCTGTGCAGGGAACATGGAGGGGGGGGACACAGCCGGGGACGCGGAGTCACACTCCAGGGCCGGGAGACGAGCAGCACAGACGGCAGTGGGTGCCATGAGCAGACAGGCAGGGAGGGTGGAGCTCAGGGTCTGGAGACAGGGCTGGCAGGTAAGAACGGAGCAGGCTTGGAGGAGAGGGAGATGGACAGACAGACAGACAGCCATGGGGGAGGGGAGCGGCCTGGCGCGCCAGAGCAACAGCGAGGCAGTGTGCAGGGAGCCAGGTCTGCACAGGGATGGGCGGATGATCCGGCAGCCCTGAGCCAGGTTCTGGGCGCAGAGAGGCGTGATCTGGCTGCCGCGGGAGGAGCCTGCAAAGCCCACCCCTACCCAGGCCACAGAGGCCCCGTGCGGGAGGTAAGAGAAGATCCGCTGATGTGTGTTCCAGGACAGCCCCGCCGTCTGGCCCACGGGGACTGGGTTTTCCTGTGTTTTAGGGTTTCCGGTTTTCAGGGTTTTCTCCTAAGGACTGAACGAGGCGACTGTGGATGTCCAGCTCCTGGCACGTGGAACTTGGGTCTTGGAGACGGAGCACTGGCATTGGCGGGCGTCACCCTGGGGTGTGTCCACAGGAACTGTGGCCTTGGGCAGCTGTCGGAGCGCAGGGCACATCCGGCCTAGAGCACGCGGTGGTCCTGGTGACCACGCAGCCCCGTGGAGGCGGGGGAGGGGCAGGGGCGGCCGGAGCCCGGTCTTGGCTTCAGGCGCCCTCGGGTGGGGGGCCGTGGGTGGGAGGCTCAGGAGGGCGGCTGGGGGCGCAGCGCCGGCAGCCCCCACACCAGGCCCCTGCAGGGGGCTCTGGGCTGGCCCTTCGGGCTGGTGTCTGCCCCGGGACCACCAAGTGCAGCGTTGAGGGGTTTCCGAGCTCCCCCGGCCTCTTTCCCCAAGGCGGGGGCTGCACCCCGCCCTCCTTCAAGACGCCATCCCGCCGGGACGGTGGGCCCGCCTGTAATCCTAGCTCTGGGAGGCGAGGCGGGTGGATTGCTCAAGGTCAGGAGTTCGAAACCAGCCAGAGCAACGAGCAGACCACCGTCTCTTACTATAACTAGAAGAAATTAATGGCGAACTAATATAATGTACAAATTAGCCAAGGCATGGTGGCGCATGCCTGTATGTCCAGCTACTGGGGGGCTGAGGCAGGAGGATCCCTTGGCCGCAGGAGTTTGAGGTTGCTGTGAGCTAGGCTGACGCCAGGGCACTCACTCTAGCTGGGCAAACAAAGTGAGACTCTGTCTCAAAAAAAAAAAAAAAAAAGA